TAAAATTTAAAATTTTATCTTATTAAATATTAATATTTAAATTTAAAAATTGATTATATTTTTAAGTTTTGAATTAGAGTTTCAATTTTTAAATATAAATTAAGACTAATTTTTTTAGAATCAGAATTGTTATGCACTAATTTTTTATAATATAATATTAATTAAATATAATATATCATTAAAAAAGTAAATATATATTATATTATCTAACTTTATTGGTTACTATATCATTTCAATAATCTTATTTTACTAACATTAAAATAAAAAAAAATCATTTCATACAACTAAATACATTTTTTTAATATTTTTATTTAATAATATTGTGACAAATTAATAAGTGTGACACACTTGCTGGTTAATTATTTTTATTCCTATATATTACATTAAGTGAAAAATAAATAATCTTCATTATTTACTCATTGCCACGAATATGTAAAGTATTTCTTTAGTATATGAATAAAACATGTTCTTTTCTACTAAAATATACGTGCAAAACATATTTAACCCTTCGAGCCAAGTGTCCTTTGACCATCTTGATGTGCACTCTCTCCCCCTTAAGCGGATCCTATCCCGCTCGATGACAATATTATTCAAAAAAAAATATATATATATGTGCAGAACTTTGTCTTTAAACCATAAATGACTAAAATAATAATCTCATCCCCACCGCCTCCTTTCTTTTTCTTATTTCTTCTGGAAACAGAGTTGTAGCTAGGGACTTTTGGTAGGTCAACCGAAAATATTCTTTTGTCGGTATAATTTTCATGAGATAAGCTCTTGGTCTAGGCTACCTTAAAATATACATGTAAAGTACTAGACTTTCAACTGTATGCCATTTCCAACATTAATTAGAATTGCTTTTGGGACATCTATTGTAAGAATGATTTCTATGCATAGAGATGACATAATGAGGATGACATTGTTGGTATAATTTTTTTTTTTTTTAAAAAAAAATTGTAAAGTTTGATATGGATTAAACAACCACTACCCTTGATTTGGAAGTTCAGCAATTTTGTTTCAGAGTGCCTTTCAAGCAATTTGATTGACTCTTCATGATCATATGTGTACAAATTATCTTACCCAACCCAACTAAAGTTTCCCTTCATTTTCCTTTTCTCTCCATTTTTGGTAAGAACTTCCACCACCAAAACAATTTGATCATTTAAATTACCAAAAGAAGTACAAGAAATCAAAGCCACTAATTTGGAGAATAAAGTGAATTAATTAACTTTCATCCTTCTCAGCTATTACCATTCTACTTAGAGGACTGGGACCAAGCTTCTTCCTTCTCATCATGCTTCTCTTCCTAATCACTTCCATTTGGTTCCTTCTTCTAACTTGTATCATTGCTTCCTCTTCCACAACAAATCTCCTCATCAAAACATCATCTGTCAAAGATTTTCCCCGGAAAACTTTTCTTACTTCTGTGCTAAGTCTTGCATTGGGGGTTCTTTCTTGTGATGTAGGTAATCCCTTGGACCTAGGGTAAGTGTTGCTTCTTCTAGGGGGAAAGTCAGCTCGAAAAACCTCGTTGTACGAGGATAGAGGTGCGCATAAACAAACTCGAGTAAACGAAGAGGCAACCCCTAGAGAGGTGCATTTCCTTAGCTTCTCTTTGTTGGGATTAGCTGTTGGAACGTCTGTGGCCTTGGGAATTGCCTTCCATAATATTCCATTTGACACAGGGATTTCCGTACGCTTGGATATTGTTTTCCACAATGTGGCATCTGCCTTCCCTTCGGATTTAGGAACACTTTTCCAGACATTAGCCATCTGCATTGCTCTTTGATACCAAGGCTTCCTGTAGAAAATCAAGCACAAATGAAGCACAAAATCTTGAACAAATTGCTTTTCTAAATGCATCTTAGGATTAGAAGCTGACAAACAACAAAATGTCAAAGAATCAAGTTTTCCACACTACCTAACAAGAGGAAGCTACAGTTTTACATTACATGTTATTTTCTATGTATTCCAAGTACTAAATACCAGTGCCAATTCTATAGCTAGTCACTTTGAAGGTTTTTTTTTCCCCTCTTTTTTCTTGTTTTTGACAATCTCAGCCTCATTAGTTTAGAAATTTTAGGTCTTAACAAAATCTGAATATTTTTGGAATTTGGGGAGCAGAATGTTATGGCATGTGATGTGACCAAAATTTTAAGAGTTGTCAGGGTTTTCTTTTAAGCTAAGCTAAGATAATGCTGATGCTGGGCTAGGTTTCAGCCCAAGCTAGAATTAAGCCTAAGGTCCATTTCAACCTCCTCCCAAATTTTAATTGGGTCAAATTGGGCTCAGTTTTTGGAGTTTTGGACCTAAGGCAGATTGCTCCATTCTTGCAAAAGGCATCACCTATTTGCCTTTGGGCATTGATGCATATGACTTCCACCCAATTCTGTTTCTGACACTCATGTAGGAAGAATCCATCCAATCATCCTCATAATCCAATATACCAATCACAACATTCTCTGTAAGAACAGTAAGACTAGCAGAACCAAAGGTTCAGATAACATTCTTTATAATGTGTTTTTATCTGTATTAATGTTCTTATAGAAACTTTAAACATTTTTGAGAAAATCCATTTGTGGCTGTAACTTATGTTAATTGTCATAAAAGAAATTGTCTTTGAATACCCATTACAGAAATTTATTAGCAAAAGCATAAAAGCTAACATTTTTCTCTTATAAATAAGAAGCAAAACTTCAGCAGCCTTCCCTTTGTTCGTGCATTAAAGTAACGTACACCATCTATATGACAAAAATAAAAAAAACAGAGAGAAAAGAAGAGAGAAAATTTTGATGGCATACCTTGTGTGAGAATTCTTTGGATCTTGCATGAACAAAGCAAGTTGAAGAATGGGTATGAAAGAGCAGAGACAATGGAGAATAGGGAATTTTCATCTGTGAAGAAATGTGGAATAGCCTTTTGCCTTCAATTTGTGACCCAAAGATGGAAGAGTAGGTAACGTGCTTCTTTTACTTTTCAGCATTCTTTATTGCTACCCTTATCTCTCCCTTTTGCTTTGGCAGGCATGGTGCGGTTCCTAGAGATTTTCTGCATACGAGAAAGAGGGAGGATTTCAAGTTTTAAAGGCAAAGTATGTTTGTTACTTTTGGTGCAATTACAGTAGTACCCTCCTCCTCTTCACTCTTGATTTTTTTAATGGAACCCCAATTTTCCAAATCATTACTTTCTGAGGCACAGAATGTCTGCAAACCTTTTTAATCATGTTTACCCCCTAATCTCTTTTAATAAATAATTGTTGGAAAGTTACCTTGTTAGGGCATTAATTGGTTTTGGACATGCCTGGCTTGACTTTGTGCTAGAAAAATCATATGGGATCAAACTATTTACCTCTTTTGTTTTGGTTCATATTCAAAACCCCATCAAATACCATAATTCTGCCATGCCCTTTTGCCATTAGGGGAACTTTCCAAATATAGAGAACGATTTCCTGTGTCTTTTCTATTTTTGGAAAGATGAAACATGTTTATAGAGGCTAGATACTGAAGAAATACAAGGCCTTAATGGCTCAATGAAGAAATGAACAACAGAGTTTAGATTAAGGATCTTTTTGATAAACATACTCTGAATGCAGCTTCAGTTTTGATTAGGCTTTTCCAATCCTTGGAACACTGTTGTGATCCAATACTTTAGAATTTGTAATGTTGAGAAAGTGTGAACCCAAAAAGGGATGAATTTTTAAATGCCTGTATCACTGTATGAGCCGAGGTCCAGGAGTGGACATCTCTCTCAGCCAGTCTGGGTTTATAATAATTTTCCAATGGATGGCATCATGATTCTTTTTGTGGGTGATGCTATATCCTGAACCCCAAAAGCTGCTGCAAAGAAGAAAAGACATGATGATTGGAGGTGTTGGGTTAGAGATTTTCCACACTACACTAAAAAAAACTTGTTAATAATGGAATAAGTTAACATTTTGAAAGATTTCAGGTTCAAATTTCCGACCAATATATAAATTTTAAGTAAAATGAATCTATGGTTCCCTATCTTTTGAAACTGAATGCTATTTTGAGGAAGAACAAGGTTATAGGCAAGGATGTGCGATAGGGTAATCAAGGGTAATTCATTACATTTTCTTCGAATTCTCATGAATAATGCTTTACCAGTAGAGTGGCTATTTTCTTTCTCTGGGTCAAAAGGCAATAGGGTTTCCAGTATCTTTTGCTTTTGAACATCTTAGACCTCCATGGAAATCCTGTTGCCCATTCTGGATTGGTTGTTAAGAGCTTCCCCACCAAGAGAAGAAAAAGGACTGCTTCAAAGTCACCACAATAAGTGGTTACTTCTTAGATTTCAAAAGCCTCACTGAATTTCTCAAGGTCAAGTGAAAATATCTGCACGAATAAATAAAGATGAATGCCACCAGTAACTTTGGATAAACAGATTTATTCTTGGTCAACATGTTTGCAGGTCTCAAGGCTGTAAAGAACTAAAGACACAAGCTTTTTCAGGTTAATTTCATTGCCAACACTGCAATTTTTGTTGGAGGAAAAGCTTGTAATGGGTCCTCTGCTCTATTTTGGAATCAGAACTTGATCAACTTCGATCAAACCCAAAATTTTGCTTGCGTAAGTTCTACTTCAACAGCTACAAATTAGTAATTCCGGTTTTTGGAAAAGGGTTTAGTGTTCCAATTAGGATTTTCATACATTACGGGTTGAATTAAAAATTTTATTTATATAAATCATATATATTAATTTTAAAATTTTAGCCCAAATGGGCACTGAGATTGAGAATAGTTCAGTAAAATAATCCCGAACTGAAGGTATGGGAAGTTGTTTTGCTTAGCTGATCTAGTGTGGCATGTTAATTGCACAAACAGATCATGTGTTCACAGCAGAGCTACTGTTATAGCAGCACGTGCAGATTCTGACACTCATCAGCCATGAGGTGTTTGAAATGGCATCTATGGCCCCACATAAGAGCATGCCTTGAATCAATTAGAACTTTGTTTCTCTTTAAACACTGTTCTTCTGATTTCACTGATGCCAGTACCATGTTTCTCAGCAAACAGCAGCATCCACAAGCAAAAGTAACCATTATGAAGTCAGTCCAATTGGGGTTTTCAAAAAAGCAAATTATTCACATGAAAAAAGACCATAACCAAAATTTTAGGCAATCAAGATGTTGACAGAATAGATAGAAGCAGGAAGGTACTATTTTTCTACCAAAACATCAAAGATAAGGTACTGTGGTATTGCTTCCTGCAATTGGGTTCAAGTAACAGCCAAATTGGACCAAATCTCTACCGGAAAAAACTCAGATATGACTTTGTTTGCACTACAGACCGTCATTACTGTCCATTGCAATGACTTGAAAAGAGTAATGCTGTTCTTGAAATTCGATTCAGATTTCAAGCAGCTTGCCACAACTACAACTTAAGGACCTCTAAGACATGGTACTTCATTTACAACACTGGTAAAGTGACACGTGGTGTACTGTCATCTACTTAGCAAATTCTAGTGCATGCCTAGCTTGGTTAACCATCGAAGATAGTTATTGGCTATCAGGGTCACCTGAGTGTTTCTTGTTCCAACCACCAGAACCAGCTTTACGCTCCCCTCGCTTTCTCTTGTTCTTGGGGAAATTTATATCTGAGGCCAGACATGTTCTCAGAGTTGATTGTTCTTGAGACATTGTGGTTTTGGCTACAGGGTCAGGTTCTGATGTTAGAAGTGAAGGAACAGTGGTCTTTCCATGTTCTACATTCTCTGGTTCTCGAAGCTTTTCCACAGACTGGTTATTTGTTGTCACAAAAGTGTTTGTGTCTCCATGGTGAACCCCTTCATTATGAATCAGCACATTGTCCACAATCTGCATGGATGATGTAAAAGTGTATGATTCCCCAAGCTTTACAAAACTTGTATAAACTAACGGTTAAAGAAGTAAAATGAGAGCACTTTAAAAACCCAAATTTAATTGAAGAAAATTCAAGCTTCAGCATTTACATCATTTTTTTTCTAATCAAGGAAAAGGAAATTCATTAGCATTAAAATCTGTTGGATCACATACAAACAGTTTCCATTATGATTTAAGTAAAATATTACAAAAGGAATAAATAGATGAAACTTTTTTATCATGTTAAGAAAGCTTACATCTTCACACAAGTCTCCAATTTGTGCCTGGTGAAAGGTAACATCAGCAGATGACAGCAATCCTACCGTGCTTTCTATTATATCTGGAACATGGAAAGCCTCTCTATAACTTGAAACTGCACTTCCAGGCATAACAAAATCTGTGATATCATAGTCTACATTATGCTGAATTGCATTGTACATAGCTCCAACTGACATTACGTCTCCATTGCCAGCTGAAAAAGTAGGACTAGGACCAGAACTGGTCTGAGCCTCACAAGGTGCAAGAAGGCTCAAATTCTCTGAGGAAGAAAACTTTGATGCATTTTTTGATAATATCATATCAAGTTTATTCCTCAATTTCTGGATGTGAGAATGAGCTGTTTCAATATTCCAAAGAACCCGTTCCAAGGAATTATCATCACCATCTCCAAGCTCCAAAAGCATTTGATCATTATTAATGCCAAAATTTTCACTGCATTCAGCATGTTGGTCTGTAATAACTGTGGCAATCAATGATAAAGACATCAATCAGTGTCAAAACTAAAAGAAAATATATTTATATTATGCATTCAAGCTATGTTAAGAAACATATGAAGAATCATTAAACCAGAGACTTGTTACCTGCATTAGTAAAATCATCTGCAGTGCTATCTTGATTGGACTTCTTTTTCTCTAAAGTATATCACAAATGAGTCAGATATGAATATTGGAGTTGAGGAGAGGAGCCATAATGCATAAAGATTAAAAGAAAGCATACCAAGATAGGAGAATAGGTTATGACGTGACATGTATGATGTTATGTCAGTTGTTTCTTCAACTTTCTTTCGTTTCCTCCTCTTTATGAACTTTTTTCTGCAATATTGATTAGGATAAGGCAACGACTTTGAACTAAAACCTGCTGGTATACATTGATTGATTAGTGAATGTTTAGCCTGATTGTATGCCTCTAGCTCTCTGGAATACTTTAATGCCTGAGACTCAATTTCTTTAATTCTCAATTCTGTCCATTTGCAACGCCACATGAGTGGTCGTATGAAGCTCCTCCAATGACTTGTCAACTTCTTCTTCCTAATATGGAACAAAAGGCAATTTGGAGATATTAATGATTTAAGATACTTATGGAAGTAAATCAAGAAATAAATTCTGCTGCAGGTCATATCTCATCAGCCATGGAAAAATAAAAGATGATACTTTTCATTTTTACAATTCAATTTGTCAATGACTCAGTTCATAAAATAATACCGTGGGTTCCCAAAATGTAAGTATATGCTGACTGCCAACTTTGAAATCAAACAACCATTATGCAAGATTGTTAATGATTCGAAGGCCACACAGATAAGTAATTGAAAGATCATGAAAACAGAATAAAGACTCACGCACCTCATTTGAAGCACATTACTGAATGCATCATAAGCAGATCCAAAAGCTTCATCACCAAAGAACTGGGATTCCTCTTCAGCATCACTTGGTCCAGAATGCTTCTCGGTATCAGATGTGGTGTCAGCAAATGAGCTTGAACATTCAGTTGCATCAGGGTCCTCAATCTCAGCAGGTCTAATATCAGTTTCTTTTATACAATTAATTATATCAACATCAACATCCTCAGGTCTCTTAGGAGCCTGAACTTGTTCCTCCAATAAAATTTCCATTTTGACAATATCCCTACAATCAATCATGCACCTTGAGCCCTTCTTATCCAATTTTCCAGAGGAAGCTTTATCCTCCATCGCTGGTTGGGCAGCAGCCATACAGCAATCTTATGCAAAGTCAAGTCAATTTACCATAAGATAATGCTCAAAAGGAAAGTTTGCCTGTAAGCAGTGTAAACCAGCTCATGTTAGTCTCGAAAATTCATCAGTTCAGCTCACAGAAGAACAGATTAGCTTCCAAGTTCAGCAGAATAAGTAAACTAAAAAAAAAATGATATAAACATTGAAACGAAACAATAGAATTAAGTCACACCCCATACATATGAAGAAAAATATCAAAAAGCTATATAAGTTGCACATCTTCAACATAACCACCCCTCAAGATTAAAGATTGAATTATGTACTAAAATTAAAAAAAAATAAATAAATAAGCACTGATTGCTGAAGACATTCCTAAATTATACATATATAAAACAAAAAGGACAGAACCGAACCTTAGCTCAATTCTTTTGTACTATGCAGAAATTTTCAAATTGCCTACAATGAAATTCCTATTTTGTAAAAAGTTCTACTATTGCATAACAAATGAAGTATTCGGCCTAACTTTCCATTAAAGCAGTCAATTTGGAAAAAAACAAGAAGTTCCCTTTGAAGAAACCTAAATTTTTTTTTAAATTATTCATCAAACCATCACTTTCTACCCAGATAAAAGCTACACCATCTGAAAACTCTCAAGCTATGAACAATAACAACACATGCATTACCCACAAGTTATATATTAATATTATAAAAGAAAAATGAAAGCCCATGTGACAAACCAGCTGAGTGCTTCTCGTAATAATTCATAATCTACCACCCATAAAATTCAGTACTAATTCCCAAGGTACAACCATACAAACATATTGCAGTGATTACCAGTAAAACAAAGAATTAAAATTTAGAGACTGCATACAGTATACTAACCCGAAAACCCAACCCTCCTGCTAAAAACGGAGCTGCAGACATTAGAAGGAACAAAAAATGCGAAGCAAAGGAGCTACCCAGAAAGCAAAAAGCTATCCATGAGCAAGAATACGCATAGGTTCAAGTGTATATGGAGAAAGAGGCGGCGGTCGGAGAGAAGTAGCGGTGGGGAGTGAAGCAGAGTGTGGTGGAGGAGAGAAGGCGGCGAGGGGAAAGAAAGAAGTTTAACGTTATAGTAAACCTAGAGTGTAGCTGCACTTCACTTCCCGCTTTTCCTATCGTACGTGCGATGCTTCAATTGTTATTTGACACGTTGCTATGTCTCGTTCTTCCACGTGTCACATTGTACTTTCAC